GAAACAAGTCTCTCTGAAATGATTTTGGAAAAGTCACCTCAGCGTTTGGTTTCAATGTTCAAATAAACACGCAAGTGGGATTTCTGCCTTTTAAAATGTGCACATTCACTCTGTTGTTAGATATTCTGCCTTTGGGTGTTCGAAAAAGCATACCTTCAGTAATAGATGCAATTACCTGTCACGCATATCGGTTTCATTTTTATACAGCAGGAAATTATTTAACCCCCTGCAAAGCACCCACCGTGTCAAAAACGATCATAGCTGAATGGCACCAATGAAACAGCAATGAACTTGGACATGCATTTTAATTTAGGTCACAATCGATCTGCATCATCAATTATGTATTATCCTTGTGGAAAGTGGCTGCGCGCGGGAAATATAAAAAACACATGTGTATGTTAATTTTAAGCAGTTCAGGAACGCTTGGTGAGATAAGAGATAACAAAATGTTAATTCTACTTGCTTAATTCATATATAGACGGTAATCAGTATATTAATATAAAACTGTAAGTAATCAAACGTTTACATAATCAGGATAGAAACGAATAAACGTGACCATATATTCACGAAATAAGTAGGCTACTCATCTAACTAAATAACAAGACTCTTATCGTTTGGAAGTTTTGTGCTGTAGGCTATATAATGCCAGATGTATGTGTTTTTTGTGAATTGGAATATTTACACTCCTCTGTAAAACAAACAGACGTCTTAGTAGTCATCAGAGTAGTCAAAACAGAACAAAAACCACAGAAAGTGAAATGAGGTTATGGGGAGAGCAACCGCCCCTTTCTGCGCTTTAGCAGAAGTGTCGAAGGCGTCCAGCATCCCGCGCGCTCCGGGAGCCACACAAAGTGCAGACAAGAAATCCCGTGTCCCATCCCCCCCTCCAACTGTTCAAGCAGCCTGCATTGCAGCCGTTATATAACAGCATCGTATCCTAGATAAAAAAAGCATCATACACACTCACATCGACATCCCAGTAATGACACAGCACATCCAAATAGTGTATGTTTTATTCTTCATGCCAGAATTACAACATGGAGACCATCAAGTGAATATGCCGGACAATACTAGTCTAACTAACGCGTTTCTTTTGGCAGTTAGTATACTACGTACAGTTTTGTCCATTTAACGCACATTATAAATGGATTTTCTTTTAACATGTGGTCATGTCGAGTTGTCTCAGGCATCCTCGCGTCCTGGCGCTCGAAGGATACACACGCACGGAGCAGAGAGTGAAAACCAGTCCTCTGAATTAATCAACACTGAGAACCGGCAGACAGCCAAGGGGACATGGCAGGAAAACCACACCGCAGAGTTTCATACATTCAGCCAGCGAGAGATGCACAAACTGGGTCACCGACACCGAAGGACTGCTGGAGGGACACTGTGATGCGAAAAAAACTGCAATGTGATAGATTCAGTTGAAGCTGGATAATGATATGAATAAAGACGACAATTAATAAATAAATGTTCCATTCTGAAATGTATGACGGCACCAGTGAGACAGATGCCTAAATTCAGCCAACAATTCTAATAAGCAAAGTCGAAAGCCAGGACAAAACCAAGAAGCATTTGTTCCTTGGTATAAAAGACACGAAAAACATCTGCCGGGAGTCTCACATCTACTGCGCCATTAACACAAGTGATAAACTATTGTTTTCTTTACAAATTAAACTAATAACTTATTTTGTGAAATGTAAATATTGCGCGTTACAAACAGTCGCAGTAGCGTGGACAGTTTGCTGATGAATTCTGGTACTCAATTATTGACCCCCTTTTTAGGGTTATCGGGGTAATGCGTTACCTGTGACGCGTGCGTATTATTGAAGATAGACAATACTGTCTTTTTTTGCAGAATCCTCATGTCCCGAGGGTCTCTTTGTCTGTAATTGCGTACTGCCAATATAATAGGCACTGGAGCGAGATATTGACGTCTCGTTGTTTTCTTCTCAGAGAATCAGCAAGTTAAATTAAAATGAATGCGTGTGCCCGGAGGTTTGTGTGTGTGTGTGGTGTGTGTGCGTGTAATAGGTTTATATTACATTATGGGGACCAAATGCCCCCCACTGTCACGTTAAATGAAACAACAAGCATGGCAAAAGGAAATGGACCATGAGGGGTTAAAAGGGCATAGGGGGGATCAGGTGAGAGCACAGGACACAGGGCAAACTGGGGAGGACACACAGGCAGCAACAGCAATGACTAGACTGGGGAGCTTGAGACAAGGAGGCACTATATACATCACTGACGAGGGAGCAGACGAGAGGCACCTGGAGTGATCCACACGAGGGCTGTAACGAGAGGAAAACGGGGGGAAAAGAATGCAGGGTGTGACACCCACAATGTAATAAAAACCTGCTTTTTAATGTTGTGGGGACCATTTTTTCAGGTCCATACAAAGTTCTGTGAATGCAATCAAAAAAGTAAAAATGTCAAAAGTCTCATATTATGTTTGGTTACTTATGGTTAAGGTTAGGGCTGAGTAGGGGTTAAGGTCATTATGTTGGGATTAGAGTTTTCTCCATAGAAATGAATGGAGAGTCCCCACAAAGATATAATTACAAATCTGTGTGTGTGTGTGTGTTTGTGTGTGTGCACGCATAAGCCCCTTATCACTTTTCCACTGAAAACATATATAGTGCATAAGGATTTTAATGAACGCGATTATATTTCTGCATCACCCAAGTAGAAAAGAACATTAAAATAAACAGAGAACTCAAAGAATAATGTTTGTTAATTTGTTAATAGAAATCTTGAAAATTAGATTTTCCCCCAAAAATAATTTTGAATATTAATATTGCAAAATCAGGCAAAGAATGTTGTCAATGTAAAATGAAATATTAACATAAACGCAAACAGTTGAGTTTTTGAATAATCACTAGTTTTCGTCAAATGAAACGGTCTGCATTGCGGCTTGCCCAGAAACTGGGCTTTGACCTATTTTCCTGTGTGCTTACACTCATAGCTGGAAACCTTGTAAAAATAGATGGTATCCAAAAAACATTCCCAATGACGCCTCACCTCTCTGGTCAGCTGGCTGGACGGTGAAATCTATGTGTTTTCTCAAGCAGAAAATTAAGTTTTTGAGAAAGTGCAATCAAAAATAGCTTAGAGGCAGAGTAAGTGTTAGGTCTATAACCAGCGGCAGATATCACCAGAAAGGTGTCAGATTTCAGTTAAAAGGTAACTAGATTGCTATTGACTGTTTTAGGTTAGAGAGGTTGTGGTTTTAGGGACATTCTGCAGGTTGAAAACACAGGACAGTTTACGAGGACATGATAAAATATGTTTACACTGGGGCGTAGCTAGAAATTTTGGGCCTCCCAACAAAATGTCATCTGGTTCCCCACCATGAATAATTCTCCATATGCTGGGCCCCTGTGAAGAGCTGGGCCCCCTGAATCTGCCCGGGTGTCATGCTGCAGCCCTGCATTTAAAGGTCAAGAGGAATAACTGGTCAGATAACTGGCCGAAAGGATAATGTGGGAAGAAGATGAGTGTTCATTTGGCGGAGAGGATGAACAGTAACACCAGCACCATGACAGGAAGGAAGACCAGGAGCAGGCAGCTGAGCTTAGCCAGGTGGAGCAGGAGGAGCGCAGCCAAGTAGCAACATCGGCACCTGTGCTTCAGCTGAGGGAGCAGCCGCACAAACCCGGGGGGGTACCTAACACAACCGCACACCAGCTCCATGTCCATACCGGACTCCAGCCGCCTCTCCAGTTCAGCCCACCGCCCTGGTTCAGAAGGAGGCGGAGCCTGGGCTGGGGGTGGGGCAGCCGGGAGGCAAGGCCCCAGATGGGAGTCGTCCATGAGGAGCACCGCCTCCTCCTGCATCCGGCGGATTTCCCAGTCTAGCAGCGGGGTCCTCTGGCGGCAGAGGGGGCAGGACACCCTGGTCCCATCAGCCCGTCGCATGAGCATCTCCCCCAGGCACTGCTGGCACACAGAATGGTCGCAGTTCAGCATGGCACGACCCCTCTGACCCTGGGTCTGGTATGGCTCCGTGCAAATCGGACACTCCTCCTCCTCCTCCTCCGCGTCGATCTGGCTCTCCCCGCCTGTGTGGAGTTTCATTTCCTGTTCTGACTCCATTCCCTGCCGCTCAGTCACCTTCCCTGCAGTTTCCCCCCCTTCCAGTGGCTTGGAAATGAGCTGCTCTCTCGCTGCTCCCAGCTCCTCCTCCGTGTCTCTCATCATCACTGCTACGGCATCTGGTGCTTCACCCACCAAAAGCTCTCCTGCTGAGTTCCTCCAATCCGCGCCCCTTGTGCCCACAGCTGACTCTGCACTCTGGCTCCTTCTTGGTTCCCCCTCCATACTCATAACTTGAACTCCCCCCTCAGAGTCAATTCCAGAACATTCCTCCATCGTCTTCACAAACACACATTGACAGTATGTTAAAATACACCCTTGCCTACCTGAAGACACTTGACCTGTCCTCAGCTCAACACGCAAACCCTCCAGCTCTTCAGCAGTCCTACATTTCAAAGAGGTGGTGACACAAGGTGCCCTCTGTTCCTGCCACGGTTTATTTGACGGAATATAAGGTCAAGCCCCGCCCACTTTCCCAAGATAAGTACGAAATCCAGCGTTGGGTGCAGCAGACTTCAGTCACAAGACTACTCCCTCCTCTGTGTAGATTTGCCCTGAAGTACAATCTAAACACAAATGGGAATACTTTTTGAGTGGGACTAAAATGACTTTAAACATGTACCAGAATCGTACATGCCGTTGCTTAACAGTGTCCCGGTTAAATACTGTCACACTTATTTTTTTTTTTAATTAAGGTAATTGGTATTCCTGTCATTTCATGGATGTCCGTTGAGTGTTTCACATAATTCACAGAAATAGGTATGATGCGAGTAGCTGAGCCGTGTCAGAGGGGTGAATAATGCACAGATTGCTTATATGGCTGTATAACAAGGTCTACAATTGTTTTCTGTCAAACAAAAGTGAATGTGAATGGGGACTAAGAAGCCAATAAGAAGACAAAGTCGCTGTTGTTTCGTTTTATTTTTGCAGCAATGACAAGAATAAAAGCATAAACTTCCTTATCTGATACACTGTATAAAGCGAGCAGAGATCCGGTATAAAAAGCAAGTGAAGATAAAATAATATGCTGATATAACATTTTTAAAGCATTGCAATTACAAAAATAATTTTCAAATCTGTTTTATAAAAGGGAAAATAAGACTCAGATATTGTTTTTCCACAATTAGTACATAAAGTATGATTTCTGATTCTCTCTGTACATACACAGACAGGGTTTTCTGTCTTCCTTACCCAACGTCGGCCATGGCCTCCGGGAGTGTGCAGGCTTTAATACACATTTTTAAAGTCTCTATCAGTCCACTCACATGGTATTTGATAGACTGAAACCTTCCCATGTTCCAAGAAAGTCAAGTTACCTTCTAGCAAGCAGTTCATACTTTGCCTGTCTTAAGGTTTGCTTGTTCCATGAATTACTGATAATTAGCTGATAACCAGTGCTTTTCATTTTAAGGGTTTCGCTTTAACCCTTCGCTACATATTCGGCTGCTTGAGTACCATTTTTGCAGAGAAGAATTATCACAGTATTAAGAGTCCCTGGATCATAAAATGGATGATTTTCCGCATCCGTCTGTAGCCATTATCCAGTTAGGGAAACCTGTGCTGCACCAATATTGAATTGACAGTACAGGTAAATAAACGGCCTCCGCAGCCACTGCTCTGATTGGTGCTTGATTATCATTGTGACCTCATTGTTAGAGTGAGAAGCTACACTCTTTCTACACATATTACCCTATTGCACCATTACAAAAATCCATTTCATCAGAGTGCAAACCAACTATAAGCTATTTCTGTGAAGCTATCTACATTTGCTGCTGTGCTTCCGCAACAAACTATTCACACAACCAGAATGTTAATTAGACCATTAGCCACCATTTATTGCCATTTTTAACCTGGTCTTTATTTATACATTTCAGTCAGCCTGGATAAAACAGGCCTTGCAAGTCTGAATAAAAATAGATGACTTGCAAGAGGTGTTGAAATATGAGACCTCTGAGGTCTGCGGACATGTGCTTTAATAACTGTCCATTTGCAGTTTAACTCAAATCAACTCAAGCATAATTGAGGAAATATCCAAACCACATGTTTGGGGAAGCTGTTAGTATTGATTCCAGAGTAATAGTTCCAATAAAAACGAGAACCGCTGAGCAATGAGTACCCTGTTCCATTGTAAGCAAGTACAGTAATTAAATAGTGTGTATTCCATTCCAGTCCAGCCCACCCACTCAATTACCTAGCTGGAGAATATAGAGTTCTTCCGAGCTGTACTGCGGATACAGCTCCCCCCCCCCCAACTCCACCCCCTTGAAAGGGTCCTGCTACAATCCACACTCTACAGCAGCCTTGCTGCAGTGCAGATGAGGCAAGTGGAGCTGAACAGTGTTCCAGGTGCTGGTGTATAGTGCAGCCCCCGTGCTCAGAGCAAGGAGAACCTCTCAAATACAAATACAGCCATTAAGATCTCTTGTTATTTTTTTTTTTAAAAATCCGGCATCGTGGAGATCATGAGGGATCAGAAACGGAAAAGAGACAAAGGAGCAACGGAACCTGCAGGGCCACCTGGAGACGGATCGTTCTGCAGCGGGAGACGCTGCTGTAATCAACGACTGGTGTCTTAATTACATAGCGAGAAAAAAAGAGAGAAAAAAGCTGCCCTCCACCTTCTGGGTGGCTGTAATTGCTAAGAAAAATGTAAAGTAGGTCCAAGATACTGCATAGAGAGAATATCGCTCTAAAACCAGCCCATCCCTTTAAGTCTGCCAGAATAGGGAGCACAGAGGCACTTAAAGGGGAAGGAAGGAAATAACAGGACCCTGGCTGACCTCCTTATAGCCCCCCCCCCCCCCCCCAAAGGATGGAGAATTAGCTTTGTGTTCACAGTCGGTACACTGGGATTACTCACATCTCTTTCGCATTTGGAATCTGTGCTCCCTCCATCTTCAGATGTTTAGTGCACTTTAAATTCAATAATTCCTCCGTAATAACAACAAGAAAAGCATTTTTAATAATAACAACAGGATTATCATATATGCCGTGCTTGTTGTGTAAGAAAAATAAATAGACTTGTTTTGAGTTTAAAATCTATTATAAAAAGGTGGCTGAGGAAAATAGTGAATCATTAGGGCAGGAGAGCTAAGGCTGCACTCCTTTTCAAGTAACATTTATGAATGACACTCTTATGGGCATAATATACTTTGACAAAGCAATTGCTTAAAAATGCATAGGACTACTGGCTTTGTTGTTAAAAAGAGCACAAGAGCTCTGCGAGCTTCTCTAAGTGGCCCCTTCCCTGCATCCTGCATCTCTCTTTGTCCAGCGCCCCCTAGTGGTTCCCTCCACCCCAGCCCACAGCCTGTGTAACAATCCCACACTTCTCCTCATTAAAGCCGTCACCCTTGGTCATTCTTTCACACTCAAATGCAGGTGCAAAGCGGCAGCACAGCTGGTCAGAAGTCCAGCGTGTCGTACTGGTAGCGGAGGCGGGGGCTGTTCTCTGTGTAGAACTGGCTGTACCAGCGCCGGTGTCTCTGGATGGCTGAGTCCTCCTTCACCAGGACGGGCTTGGAGCTGTATTTCTTGTTGTTCCAGATCATCACATCCCGTTCGAACTGTTGGGAGGTCGAAAGCGACAGGACCGTCATGGACCTCGTTGGGAAAATAAGCCTGCTGGCTCAAGACGGTCAGTGAACCCAGCTCCCGACAGGACCTTCTGGGTTCTAACCCCACACGCCTAGATTCACTTCTCAAATGATAATAATTATAATTTTGTATTTAGCAGACAGTTTTATCAAAAGTGACAAACAACTGAGAAAGCAGAGTCGGATAAGAGTCAGAGTCCCTGGAGCAATTGGGGGTTAAGGGCCTCGCTTAGGGCCCAACTGTGACATCATTCTGCCAGCTATGGGATTTGAACTAACAACCTTCCGATCACAGGCACTAAGTCTTAACCCCATAGGACCACATGCCATTTAACTACCTGTACAGTGTACAACTGTTCATGCAGAAATCAAAACCGCGAAGGGGTAGAAGTTCGCCACCCCAGCTATGACTGTGAATAGCGGTAACACTGGAGATACTGGCTGCTGCTGTCGCTCCTTCGGAGAGAGATTATGAGTTGAGCCGTAGGAGGGAAATGGGGAACAAAAAGCGAGCTATTGTTGATATTTCAAAAGAAATGACACTCAAGGCACAGAGGAAGACAACGTGCCACGTCGCTCTGTAAGACACGGCAGAGTTTTTGATAGAGACGTCTGAATATACGCAGAGACTTAACTCTGGCTTTACCCGTGCATGATGGGCCCTGTACTGAGACAGTGATGTTTTTAGGTGCCTCTGCCCACCCAACAGAGACAAGACCAAATTTAACCAATCATTAGCGATTTAATAGAATTGCAATGGACCCCCCCACCCAGTCAGAGGCGGTGGGGGGGGGGGGGGGGGGACATCCAGCCTCAGGCCCATCATGGCAGGGGGCTCACTGTACAATGTATGAAGGGACCCCCCCCCCCGCCACCAGGCAGCAAATTTTACTGAATGCCCCTTTTGAAACTGATTTACAACAATTTACAGCAATACCCCACAACGGCACCCCCTGCAGTAAGACCCCTCCTCCGCCCCTGCACCCCCCCAGGTTAACAGCTTTTACCCCGCCCCCCCCAAACACTGGTGCCCACCCACCATACCCAAATGCCACTGGGGAGGGAAGGGGGCGGGGCATACCTGGATGCACTCAGCCCGTAGGATGAACTTGGGCACCAGGGGGGGGATGTTGCCCTGGTAGAAGATGCTGTGGGAGACGCACTGCAGGAGGGGCTCCACGGGGGTCACAGAGTGCATGATGACGCCGCGGCCCAGGAAGCTGCTGTCGAAGAGCAGGAACACGACCCCCGGGCCCACCTGCAGCACACGGGGGGGTGCAGCCCCATGAACGCATGTCATCACACTGGCCCCCCCAAACCAAACCAATCCAATTACTGTCACTCAGTCTTAACTCCCCCCACCCATCTACAGAACCCCTGTATGCCAGCATCTCTGAGTCTCCCCTCCCCCCCAGAGCCCCTCCCAGTCCCCATCACCTGTCTGGCCACCACATTCACGTCGAGTATCGGCCAGTGGCGGCCGAACACAGTCAGGGCATGCTTCACCAGCATCTGCGAGCAGTGCTTGTTGGGCTCTGGCTCAGGTTCCCATTCCACCTGGGTGTCACAGCATGAAGGGGGAGGGGTTACTGACTGATGGACACCAGACAGGCCAATGGAAAGACAACATTTTTGATTATGCCACCTTCCAATCATGCCGGATGAACTCCCAGGTCTTGCTGTTGGTGTAGCGAAGGTCCACACCGCTGACGATGCCTGGCGTGTGCAGATGTGCCAGGTGGGCGATATCAGCTGCGTTCTCCGGGATCTCCTGCAGGGGGTGCACATGTGCAGGACGAATGCTTAGGGGATCTGCTACCTACACTCTCTCTCTCTCTCTCACACACACACACACACACACAAACCTCAATGTGTGCGTTGATGAAGTGCTCCGTACGGCCGCGGTACACCCACTGGCCCCGCGCGATCTCCTCTTGCTCCGGAATGGTCCAGCTGGGCTCAAGACCATCGCAGTGGAACCACACCAGGATCAGGCCGTTGATCTCCATGCTAGGCCAGCGTCGGACCTTAGCAAACTCCGGCACTGCAGGCCCAGAGAGGTATGCAGTCGTCACAGTATGAGCCTCAGCGAGGCGTTTTCATTTACTGAATGGGTCCCTTTTTTATTGTAAGTATTATTTAATTACTGACTTTTATAAAAGCATCGAATCCTCCAAAACATTATATGAGTGTAATTTCTATGTAGAATTTAATAAAAGCATAAATCACAGAGAGCTAGGGCACTCACAAGCACCAGTCCTCAAACATATTAATCACACACACACACACCTTTCTCCGCATAGGGGATATGAACACATTTCCCATCTTCGCCGCGGAACTGCCAGCCGTGGAAAGGGCATTCGATGCATCCACCGACCACACGTCCGCCCACCGCCAGGTTGGCGCCCAGATGGGGGCAGTACGCGTCCACAACGTGGGCCTTCCCGTCCTGACCCCGGAACACAGCCACCTGCTCACCTACGAGATTTTGCGAAGGTGTGATTTTAGGGGGCGTCACCTCTGATGTATGCATGATGAGTCAAGCAAATACAGAAACAAGGGAAGGTGTAGTTCATCCCAGAACCACTAGGGGTCTTCACTCCACATGATGTGTCTCTCTGGGGCCCATTGTGCTGAAGCACTTGGTTTTATTCTCTTAAAGGGACAGTCCCCCTTTCCCAGGTAGCAGGGAAATACTGTGTAAGCCCCACATTTGATACACATGGTAAAACTTCAGTCCTATTACAGATCCCCAGTGTCTAGCCTTGGTGCTGTACCAGGCCTACAGAGAATAAGCTACTTGACAAACACAAATGTCATTTCAGTCCGGTGGCAACTGTCGCGGGACATTCCGGAAACTTGACCGGAGGTGGTGTCCGGACACAGGGGCAGCGTACACATCCAGAAAGGCAGACCAACCACTAGCTGGAACCTGACCCTACGAACGGCCAGATGGAGATCAGGGCCAGATCATGCTGGTAAGTCTCCAACATGCTAGAGCCTCACACACGTGACTGACGTGACATGGTTTCGCGTTTAGACCCGCTAGTGCTGGCTATTTTTTAATTATTTAAAACGTATGACATGGGAACATTTTTACAACTCGGGTTTCAGACCTGCAGCGACCGCTCGGCGCTGGACTTAATATAGGTCAACGGATCTAGAGCAGGAGCTCACGCGTGGCCCAGGGGAAGGACCTCATTAGCTACTGTCGCAGGGCAGCAGGCCTGGGGGGGTTGGGGGGGGGTGTCATTTGCTGTGGAGACTGGTCTTGGATAAGAACACCATCGCCCTCACTAGGGCAATCTGGGATGTTGCAGTTCCATGCACCAGTGCAGTTGTTCCCGATTGCTGCTCCTAAACTGAGCCAATCCTCTCCGTTTGACCAGCTGTCATCGCAGCCCTAAACTGTACAGTAAGAGCTGCATCTAACCCCAAAGGGGTGGGGTGGGGGGGTATCCAGGCAGCAGTGTAGTGGGTGGCCGTCCCTCAGAACACCACATGGGGAGGGAATCCTCAGGGGGGGGCATGCAGGGACACTTTCAGAAAGACTGCCAACGTGGAGGTGGGTAGACTGCTGACTTGCACTTCGGAGTAACGCCAGCGAGAAATCACGCCAGAGAGTTACGCCGCTTTTTGGAAGCGGTACCAAACACACCTCGGGCTGGTACTGCAGCAGAACCGGTGCTTCAGCTGGACCACTCACCCCGTTCACCTCTTCCTGACCCAAGCTGCTATACATGTTTTTTCTCACCCCAGTAATCAATGATTCCGGGCCCCACTCTCAAAATGTGTGCATTATCCACTGCAGACACATAAAAAAAGCTGTCTTTGTATGCCCACCCTTTAAAGCAGTGTTTCCCAATCCAGTCCATGGAGACCTGCAGACAGTCCACGTTTTTTCTCATTTCCAGCTCCCTGGAAAAAGTGTTGACTGTCTGGCAGGGAGCCGGGAGGGAGCAAAAACATGGACCGTCTGTGGATTTCTGATCACTGGGTTGGAAAACACCTTTTAAAACCTGTTTGTTCCTCCTATATCTTTTAAAGAATGTGATTCAGTTACTGTTTGGGACTGCCTTAATCCGTCACACCTTTGTCTAAGCCGTGTGTGCATGTTCGTGTGGTCGAGTGTGTTCTGCAGAACTGCATGCATGCATGTGTGAGTATGTATGGGAGGATCATCTCTCTCCCAAATCACCATCCATGATCACATGAAGGACTGCTCTGCCCGTCATGCCCTTTGGTCCCATGGGCACCCTGATTACCCCAGAGATCAAACAAAAACATGACCATGTGATCTGTGACAGCGTGGCAGGCATGAAACATTGACTAATCTTATATTATTATTAACCAACATTATGCATCACAGACTGAACTTCCTTTTCAGGCAGAACCGCTGAACCTACCGCCTAGTGACAGTTCATGTCGTTCCCGTCGGTAGCACCTACAGTCCATGAGTGGCTTATTTGCAGCCCCTGACACATGAGCTTAGCGCTCAAATGGATATTCATGTTATAACTTTAGCGTTTTGCTCACGCATTCAGTTCCATGACTGCTATGAATACGGCTTTAAAGTTGGGCTGGGTGATATGGGCTAAAAAATAAATGCCGTAAACTGAGAAAAAGGGTCTCTCATTATCTTGGTATTTTAAGGAGGAAAATACAGTATCTAAGGTATATACAGCTGTGGAAAAAATTAAGAGACAACAGCACAATTTTTTGTGTCACTCATTTCTTAATTTATGGGTGTGTGTCTGTGGAAAATATATATTTTTTGAAAACTGCAGTCTTGTTCTTCACTGTTTCTCATTAATGAAGGGCTTCTTCCTTGCTTTACGGGACTTCAGTCCTGCTTCTAGGAGCCTGATACAAACTGTCCTAGCAGTGCACTTCACACCTGCACTTTGCCCATTCCTGTTGAAGGTCACTTGATGTCATCCACTGATTCATGGGAAACTGTTGGATAAGTTAATAGTCTCTCTCTGGCATTAGAAAGTCACTTCCGCCCTTTTCCTGGCTGGTTTCTGGTCATTCCCAGTGTCTCCTGCTTCACCTTATTCTTGTATACTGCTGTCTTAGAAATTTTGAACATGGAAGCAACATGCTGCTCAGTGTAGCCTTCTGCCTGCAGAATTAGGATTAATCCAGGATTTAAAAATGCTAATTTTTAATGTTTAAAAATATAGAGTTGTCTCAATGTTTTTCTGCAACTGTATCTCAGCGTTTTCAAAGAAGTGGCTCAATGTTTAGATATAAGTCAAAGCCACGTGTAAGATGTCATGAAAACATTTAGATGAAAGACAAACGAAATGCAAATGCAGTGTTTCCTAACCCTGTCTGCAAATATACAACTATAACTATTCAGCATAAAGACAAAAATAAAGGATGCGTATATCAGTCTTACATGGGTGCAATAAAGCACCAACCGCTCAGTTAGATATTAAAACAGAAGGTGAATGTTCAGGAATAAAACATTCTAAATATAAAACCTCTTCAGCAAATGGCTCTAAATACAGAAGTCTGACAACCATTGAAAGTGTACTTAATAACTGGAATGATACTCAATTTAAGGAATTAGTCTTCAATAAAATAAAATATATACTGCAAATTAGGATATCTTATCTTCTAAGTCAGCCAAATACTGACTGAATGGTTTGTTTTTAGCTTTGAATGCTGATATTCTATGCTATATCATTACTGAAGCTCTTGTGTTGTTTACAGCAGGAAGGAATACTATAGGTCTCTATTAAAAATCTTTGCTCATACTGTTCCCTCAGTGGGTTGTCAAAATGTGGAAACGCAATCAGAGAAATCCAAATTTCGACAGCCTTAATTTTTGTGCATAATAAAAGTATACCGATGAACACAGGATTCTCATCCTTTATCTCAAACAAAAATATATCAATATATCATTAAATATGAGAGTCCTGCTTCATGCGGAAATTACCTGCAAATCCTCAAATATATATTCCAAGCCAATTAATTTCACTGATGAACTACTGCAATTATCCTCTTATAAATCTCATTAGAATGTGCTTAACTATTATTATCAGAGTAAAATTTGCCCAGCAACATCAAAATGTTGATCACAACCTTGAAAGCATTTGCTTGCTGTAGTAGTCACGGCACTCACACAACACAACCAACCTGTATCTAGGGCATGCTGGACAATTGGATCTCAGGTTCACCCCATGAAAGGTATCTGGATTGATACAATTCTTCAGTGCCTTCCCTTGGGTTCCCCCCCCCCCCCCCCAAAAATGCAGTTTGTGAGTAATGTTTCCAAGGAGACGAGAGACTGGTGGAAAGTGGGAGGTTGCATTCTGCCATCCTGGTCCAAATGACAGCCACCTGGAGGGGTGGGGGTCTTGAAGGGACTTAAATTATGTAATTAAATGTGACGGTTGACAGGAGACAGGAGTAGTCTGAGTAGCACGGGAGATTCCTTTTAACTCTATGGCTCAAAAAGACCTTTTTGTGTTGTGGAACCAGGGCAACAAATCAGAAAGCAAATCTTTCTCAGTGCCCGAAAGGCTATCCTGTTCACATAATAACTACCTACTCCAGTGAACAGAAACTCGAGAGAGCCAGAGGGACGGGAACGCCGACTGAACCGGCTCCGCCAGCCACCCGGCGTGAGCATCTCCCCTCACGCGCTGTGCGATTACTGCGGCCGCCCCATCTCACCTCACGCGCTGTGCGATTACTGCGGCCACCCCAGCTCCCCTCACGCGCTGTGCGATTACTGCGGCCACCCCATCTCCCCTCACACGCTGTGCGATTACTGCGGCCGCCCCATCTCACCTCACGCGCTGTGCGATTACTCCACCCTGTAATCATAGAGCGACAAAATGCTCCTTATTCTGGCCATAACTACGAGGTATAATCAAGGACTCGGAAGTTTCACGTTGCAACAAAGGGCTAGGAGGCATCGTACTGGGCGTGTGTGTGTGGGCGGGTTTAAACACTGCTTCACCTATTGTATTAATAAATTGTATGGTTTCCAAGCTGACACGAGCCGTAGTAATGCATTAAGCCCCGGGGAATGGAAAAATGAAAGTAAGAAACTTCTTTTTTGATCATATTTTTGATGCCCCCATACACACAGATTACAAAACTGTAATCCCAACATGACAACCATAACCCCTACCCAGCCCTAACTTTAACCATATGTAACTAAACTAAATACGAGACTTTTGGCATTTTCAATTCTTTTACTGTAGTCAAAGATTGAAAAACGGTCCCCACAAGATCGATCTATCTATCTATCGATCTATCTATCTGTCTGTGTGTGTGTGTGTATATATATATATATATATATGGCACACCTGGCCAGTTCTAATACCACATTAGTCTATACGGTCTACACGGCAGGTTGGCCTTGCTCAGCTTCACAAACACACTACCATTCTTTTAGTCAGTGTCATACTGGCAAGGTCGCAAAACTGCAGCACAGAGCTGAAAAATGCCTTTGCGGA